CTGAGAAACACGTATTTTTCCCAGTACACTCGTTTATTTATACTCCGAGATTTGGGAGACGTTTTCTTTTATTGTATAAACCTTCATTTTCGGTAGAACAGACTTTTATTAAAAGACGTTACCATGGAAATATACAACGTTATCGGTCAACGTCATCCACAATGGATTTTTGTTGGGGGGGGGGGGGGGGGAGATTCATTACAACTTTAACTTGAATGTTTTTTTTTTTTGGTTTTTTTTTGTGTGTTTTTTAAGTTAAAACAATTGATGATTGTAAAAATAATAAAAATAAAATATAAAAAGTCTATTTGAATATAAGAAATAAATGAGGCATGCAAAGCATGTAAAATACATTGTTTACACAGCAGTGGAGCTAGGAAAATATCTGTTTATCTTTATGTTTAAACAAAAAATTATCATGCACTGTTTGACCACCACTGCCCTTTAAACTTTTCTGGTTATTGTGCACATCTGTTAAAAATGTGCAGGCAACAGATTGTTCGTCACAATTTTAGAAGTCTTTAGTAAAAATAAAAGCACATTTATTCAAGAATAATGACAATTTTCGAATAAAAATTAATCAGAATCTTTTTCCCTGTGTCTTATAGGTTCTAAAGTTGACTGCCTAAATCAACCAGCAGGGGACAAAAATTACCCTTTTAATATTAAATTTGATATTTCCTTCTTTGAGGTTGAGGGAACCATACTCTTTATTGCAAGACAGTTTGACGTAGTAGTACAGGGTCATTCTAGTGCTTCAACTTCACAGAGGTATCTAATGCAATTGCCTTGATACCCAAGGAGTTTGTCTTTGTGTCTATGACAATTTTATCAATTTTTGTTTGGGAAATTGGTGCCCTCTCAACTTCAAAGTTTATGCCCTGTCATTGAATTCTTAAATCTTAGAATTGCGACATCTCCTTATTACAGACTTAGATGATTTATAGGAACTTTGTTTTTGTTCCAGGTAAAAGAAAACCATGACTCAATTGTCTTGCATAAAGGCATGCAGTAACTAAATCACACAAAATAAATTCCTCATTACCACATTTGAATGTGCTCTTTTTCCTTCTCCTTCTAAATTTGTTATGGTTCACATTTATAACAAATATATTAGTTACAACAAACACTTATATTTTTGACACAGGCACATACATGTACTTGTATATATTAATTTATTTACTCTTGGAGCCATTATAGTAAGCAGTCTGTTCTTATTCACTCAACATGATTCAGTTAGGAATGGATGTGACTAACTAGTACAAAATATGGAAATTTGAGAGGCACTAGAAATGCTTAATGTTTCACTGTGTGGAATGTTCCAGCAAATAAGTTACAAAGCACAAATAAAAATTGGGTGTACTTAACTTGTTTTCATGGAATTATTGACTTATGTGATTTGCATAAACTCTACTTTGGTGGCCATTATTGGGTGGGAAATGGGCAAAATACATACAATTGATATTCATAATTCAGAAACTAGTTTTGGCACCCCAAGTGAAATCACATCTCAATAATAACATGAGCTATTGTTATTCACTTAAAAATGATATGTTATTATATGTATTCACATGATACATATTCGCTACATTTAGGCATCAGGGAAGAGTGAAAGGCCTTAATTTGGTTGTAAAATAAGCTTCACAAAATGTTGAGTCAATATAAAAAGTATAATCAAACAAACACAAATTGTGATATTTCACATGATAACAAAAATTCGTGATATATTTGATGTAATATGCATTTTTTAAATTTTGTTGGTGAAAAAAAGTTATAAATAAAACAAACATGAATGCTTAGTACGTCTTACTGGCATAATGTACAATTCTGCAGTTACCATAGAAACTTTAAACTAGAATACAGATTTGATTGAACTAATTTCAGAACTGATTTTGAATTTTATTGTTTCCCACAATTATGTTATGCATAATATCTAAATTGTTTTGTTTTTTCAGCTCTACACGAAACTAAGTACAAAAATAGAAACATGCATTCCCACTATGCTAGTGCGAATGGAAGAAGGCATAAAAAATGATAGTGATGAACGAGATTATTCTATTTACACCGGTACAGCAGGTAAAAA